TAATCCACTGGAGACAGAAAATAGCAAACCACTCCAGTATCTTTGCCAAGAAAACCCCAAGATCGGTATTGGTGTGCCATGGTCCAGAGGGGTAATGAAGAATAAGACAAGACTGAACAAATATGCCAGGCACTCCTAAATGCTGCAGATACAAAAAAAGGCCGAAAAATTCACTGTTCTCAAGGAGTTCAGTCTAATGAGGGAGACAGTATGAAAGCAGCTATGTACAAACAATACATATGCAAGATAAATTTAGAGATAACCAACAGAGGGAAGGCACTAGACGCAATGACAGACACACAGCCCTTGCTGTGTCAGACCTGCTGCCATAGGCTGGCCAAAGCTAGGGTCATCTCCACACCATGAAAAGGCAATAGACTAGGACTTTAGTGGAGTTTGTGTACTTAAGCCCAATAAGATTGTATTGATTTAGAGATAGTTGCCTTTGTGAATTTTATGGTAAGATAATTAGTGGCTGCATAACAGAAATATTCATGATGTATCTATACAAAGTTAAATGTAAAATAAAGTGCACCAATGGGCCTTTCATTCAAAAACCTTTTCTCAGTCCTTATCCTTGATCTCTCTGCTGTTTTAACACTGTTTACTCCTCACTCCTTCTGGATATTCTCTCATCTCTGGGTTTCCATGACACAGCTCTCTCCTGGCTTTCCTCCTACTTGTCTGACCTCTTCTAGGCCTCCTTTACAATATCATCATCCATAACCCTGAACAGGAAGTATGCCCCAAAGCTCTGTCTTGGGCCCTCTTCTTTATGTTTTCCCTCATCAGGTCCCATGAATTCAATTCTCATCTCTCAGTAGACAAGACTCCTAGACATATATATCCAACTATCATCTCTTCCCTGAGTGCAAGTCTTGTACCTTCTGCTGCCTATAAGACATCTCTCCCTGGTTGTCCCACGAGCATCTTAGACCCAATGCTTAAGAAAAATTTATTGCCTTTCCCCTAAAAACCACCTACATACTTCCTAACTCCCCAATTTCTGTTGAGGGCACCACCATCTTTCCAGTCATTGTAGTTCACAACTTCACAGTCACACTCAACTTTTCACTCTCATTTATTCCCCTTACACCCAACAAGATACCAAGCCTTGTCGATTCTAACTCCACGACATCGCTTGCACTCATCCCCTTCTCTCTACTCACAACACAACCATTTTGGACTACCACCATCACCTCCTAAATGTATGTCTCTCATCTTTCCTCTCTTTGATCTGTATCCACACAGATGCTAGTGGTATTCTGAGAATACAGGTTTGACCATGTCATTTCTTTACTGAAGAAGCTTCAATGAACTCAAAGATCCAATGTAAACTCCTCTATTTAGCATTTAAAGCCCTTGACAATCTGGCTCCAGACCCACTTTCCAAGTTTCCACTGAATCACCCTTTTCCCACTCCCACGATCACACATGTTCAGAAGGAGCTCCACCCACAAGCTTCCATGTACTTGGGCCAACAGTCAAACACAGGTCTGACCAGGTCACTCATCTACTCAATAATCTCCACGTCTCCCTACCACCTCCAAAATCAATCAATCAATATTTATTAATTGCTTACTATGTTCCAGTTACTGTGCTAAGTGCTAGAGTACAAAAAGGAGCAAAAGACAGTCCCTGCCCTCAAAGAGCTCACAAGCTAATAGGGGGGACAACATGCAAACTAATACATACAAACAGACTATAAGCAGGATAAATGGGAAATAGTTAACAGAAGGAAGGCACCAGAATCAAATATAAAATACCCTATTTGGCATTCAAAGCCCTTCATATCCTGTTCCCTCCAACCTTACTAATCTTCCTATACCACACACACACACACACACACACACATCCAGTGACACCAATTTCCTCATTGTTCCTCCCACAAGACACCTCACCTCTTGACTCCAAGCATCTTTACTGGCTGCAGCCTAGGCCTGGGGTGTTCTTCCTCATTATTGCTTCCTCCTGGCTTTCCTGGTTTTCATCAAGTTGCAGATAAAATCCCACCTTCTGCAAGAAGCCTTTCCTGATTCCCCCTTAATCAGAATGCCTTCCCTCTGTAGATTATTTCCAATTGATCTTGTTTGTAGCTTACTTGCATACAGTTGCAGCTTCTCAAGGGTGGGGACTGTCTTTCCCCTTTCTTTGCACCCCCAGTTCCTAATACAGTGCCTGGCACATAGTAGGTATTTAATAAATAACAAATATTAGTAAATGTTTGTTGAGTGACTGACTAACATAAAAACTTGGTGTATATATGATGCAGGCAGTCAGGGGCAAGAGTACTGCCCTACCTTCCAGCTAAACACGCCTGCTTACTGTTGCTAACCCTTTAAAGACAGCTCAGCTGACAAGTTCTTCAAGAGACCTTTCCTGGTTTTTCCTGGTGCTAGTCCTCCCCCAACTTCCCAAATTCCTTTGTATTTGTTTTTCATATAGTGTATATTTACTTAGCTATGAATATGTTGGTTTACACTTAATGAAATATAAGGTCCTGAAGGATAAGAGCCTATTCATTTTTGTCTTTGTAACCCGTATGTAGTAAAGAACCTGACACTTAGCAGGTATTTTTTAAATACTTATTGAATTGAATTGAATGTGCTCCCAAACCTCATTTTACCCTTGCCCATGTCTATTTTCTTCCTAATGCATAATGAAACCAAAGTGAGAAAATAAAATAAGATTACATAAACAAATGCAATTCAGACTAGGTTTACAGGCAAAAAAATTAAAAACTTTGAGCTGTAAGGTCAACGCCATCTAAGTTCTGAATTATAAACTTTCTCAAAAGAAGCAAGAAAAGAAAAAAAAAGAAGTAATAATAATAAATAAATAACATTTATAAAGTGCTTTAAGGTTTGCCAAGCACTATACCTGCTATCTTATTTAATACTCACAACAACCTTATGAGGTAGACGCTATTATTGTCCCCATTTTAGGGATGAGTAAATGAGACTGTAAGAGGTTAAGTGACTTGCCCAGGGTCACACGGTAAGGATCTGAGCAGACATATCTTAGGTCTTCTTGATTCCAAGCTAATGTCTTACCCACTATGCCTGGGATTACTAAAGAGCATTTAGTATGGCTCAGGGATGGAGACTGAAAAAAGTCAGAGGCCCAGCACGTCTGATTTTTGCTGGTGATGCTTTCTTTGCTCTGGTCTTTTCCATTTGCACTGAAATCTCCACCATGAACAGTTATTCATCTTTATGTTTTTCTCTTAAAGCTCAGTTAGCATCTGAAAATATGATTTTTATGCTATACTATTTCTTATTTGGGGGATTGAAGCTATCAGTCAAAGTTATGTATGCCCAGTGGTTACAGACAGACTTAGATTGCAAGTAAGAAGCTATATATTCTGGCAATTACATCCCTAGCATTCTGCCTTCTCAGTGGTATCCTCTTGAAATGCCCCCACATCATCAACTTAAAGACCAGTTTTCACAATATATTGTGGTTCATCATGCTACAGTCGCAAAGAAACCATTGTCTGTTCCCAAAAGAAGAATGTCCATTCCTCCTTTCATGAAGTGTTGTCCTTAGAGATACATTTTCTCAATCAAACCAGACAAACTCAGAGTGCACCGCTGAGCCCTGGCAGGAGCTATGCATTTGAGTGCAAAGCTATGAGAAAAATTAAATCTAAACTCAATTCAATTCCAATATATTTGAAATTACAAATAACCCTCTGAGGCTGCAAACTACTCTATTCTGAATCACCATCTGCTAAAGAAATAAAAGAGTTTATGTTTATTTTTTCTGTTGTTCATTCAGAATAAGGTCTTAAAGAACAGCAAAATGGTTACTGTTAAGTATCCTGTGACCCACTGGCTTCATGTTGGGCAGTGCCTCCCTCCACCAGTACACTTGGTCCCAAGAACATTATGACAAACCCTTCAATTATTTTTGACCAAATGGTTCTGGCAAACCATTCATTCAGCATTTCTATTTCTCAATAATCTTTCCTTTTTTTTTCTTTCATAGAAGTAATTTTAGGCTACTTAACTTAAATAAATATATATAGGCATACATGAATGTGTTGTAAATGCAGTCATAATTATATATTATATATAAAATGATTAATAACTACGTAGCTTTCCAACAGAAATACTCATGTTATATCTCTACAGAGTAAATGTAGTTAAATGGATTGTCCCATGTGCTGAATCAAAAAGTCCAAAACAAAAATCTGTTTCACATTTACGAGACTTAAGCAACTTCGTTAGGTACTGAGTACTAAAGTCCTCTTCCTGCCACTTTTTTAGTGTGGGGGTGACCCCTGTTCTCAAAGGCCATGAAAGGAGGGAATCTCTGGTAGGTCATGACGAGCTAGAGAGGCCTCAAGTGAATTGTGCCTGTCACTCAAGGACAAGCATTAGTAAGTTCAAAGACTCATCTCCAGATGTTTGACTACCAGGTGATGAATTTTTTGGTCACAGCAACTTACAAAGACAGTTACAGCATCTGCTTGTGACCACCATTAAAAAGGGGAGTCTTGATTCCAAAAGACTCATGATGGAAAATGCTATTCACATCTAGAGAAAGAACTATGGAGTCTGAATGTAGATCAAAGCATACCATTTTCCTTTTTTTCTTTCTTTTTTCTTTCTCATGGTTTTTCCCTTTTGTTCTGATTCTTCTTTCACAACATGACAAATGTGCTAATATGTTTAATATGATAATACCCATATATCCTGTATCAGATTGCATGCCATCTTGGGGAGGGAGGAGAGGAAAGAAAGAGAAAAAATGTGGAACTCAAAATCTTATAAAAGCAATTATTAGAAAAAAATAAAAAATAAAATGTATTTTACATAAATCACAACTACAAAAAAAGGAGGTCTCAAAGGAATGAACTTGCAGATCTTTTTACACATTGTATCAAACTAAATGACTGTGGAAAATGACAGACTCTTTGACTTCATTCAATATTTAAGCCCAATTCTGATCATGAAAATATCATAAGGTTGGGTTTTTTTTTTTATAATACATACCCAGTAAAGCCTGAAATAAGGAGCTCTTAAAGATTCCCATCACTTTTTTGACAGCTTTCTTCAGCAGCTGCTCCTCCGGTTTCCTTAATTTTCTGCAATATTCTTCCAACAGTCTTAAAGCTCGATCAGTATCTGGAAAAATATGATTTTTAAAGCCTATATTATGGTCCCAGAAAAAATATGAAACTGCTGTTCAACAACCCCACAGTTGTGTTTATAGCTTCATGACACAAAAGACTGTCATGAGGTAATTTGTCACATTTTTCTGTTATATGTAATTCATTGTATTCAGCTTCTAATTATCAAGTACTTTTTTTTTACTTTTTTTTTTTACCAGGGCACTCCAAAAAAGAACGCATAGTTCTTTTTAAAAATGAAATGAAAAAAAATTATTTTTTAAAAAGTCTATGAAACCTGATTTTAAAGACCTACAAATGTTTCACATTGTAGCTGTGATTCACCTGTTTCACAGAAGTAGCACATTACTTTAAAATTACACTCTTTCCTCAAAGCAATCTCCTTGCTAAGTACCCAGCCAACTATTTTAATAAAATCAGATTTTATTCTTCCTTTGGCAGTATTGAGCTGGGTTGTATTCAGGAAAGTGCACAAGGGTTTCCAATTATCCCAAACTGTTGCTGCAAAAATCTATACCTTTATAGTTTTTTTTGTTGTTCTCTTTTTTTTATTCTAAATTTAACAAACACTAAATAAAATGAGTTTTTCAATACACAAAGTAAAAAGAAAAAAGTATTTGTACAGAAACTGTAAATCTAGCTTATTCTTCTTTTTTAGGTATATAATAAAAACACCGTGCAATTTTCAAAGCTCTTCTTCTCGTCTACATTTCCTTCTGGCCCTCTTTCTGTATTTTTCTGTACATTTGGAGGCAAAGGTGGGGGGGGGGGAGAAGAAGAAGGGGTAGGAATTGAATCTCCTCACCCAAGCTGGAATGGAAGTAGCCACTCATGGACCCAAACCCACTGCTGATCTACCTGGAAGCATTGATCCACTCCATTTCCAACTTGGACCAGTTTGCCTCTCCTTCAGCAACCTAATGGCCCTTGGGGGATCACCATATTGATTAGTTTAGACACCCAAATCACCCTTAATCACCTTTAGCCCAACTGCATCTTAGAACTTCCAGGGGCAGTTAGGTGGTGCAGTGGATAGAGTACCAGCCCTGAAGTCAGGAGACCTGAGTTCAGATGTGACCTCAGACCAAACCCTTGACACGTACTAACCTTGTGACCTTGGGCAAGTCACTTAACCCCGATTGCCTCACTAAAACAAACAGAAAAAAGGAAAAAACTTCCCAAGCAACCCACCAACTTCAGAGCAGCAGAGGTAACAGGCATTTATCACCATGCCTGGTCTATTCTAGGCATTTTTTTAATATCTCAATGACCCTATTTCCTTTGCTTTTTTCTTGGCCAGTCTATCACTTGGTCCCTGCTCCTATTAGTTGTATTATCACTATGTATATGATTATACAGCCAGCCCTAGTCTCCTTCCTGACGTACAGTCCCCACATTTCCAACTGCCTTTTGGAAATCTCAGACTGGATATTCCATAAGCACTTTAAACTCAACATACTCCAAATAAAATCATTCATTTTTCCCCAAAACCCTCCCCTCTTCGGAACTTTCCTATTACTATCAAGGGCACTACCAGTCTTTCAGTCACCCAGCCTCACAGCCCTAATGTCTTCTTTGATTCCTGCCTTTCATTCACCCCACATATACAACTCATTGTCAGATCTTGCCATTTCTACCTTCCTGCCTTCATAACATCTCTGGGATATGTACTGTACTCTCCACTCATACCTCCACTGCCCTAGTTCAGACCCTCATCACTTCACTTCTGGACTGTTGCAATAGCTTGTTAATGGTTGGGTTTTCCTTCAAGGCTCTCTCCACTCCTACCCATACTCCACTCAGCTATCAAAGTTATCTCCCTAAAGTGCAAATCTGACCACGTCAACCCCCAACCCATGCCATGCAATAAACTGTCTGATATTAAAGCTCTTCATAATTTGGTCCCTTCTAACCTTCCCAGCCTTTTTACATCTCTCTTCCCTCTACACAATCTATGATCCAGTTACTCTGGCCTACTTGTGCTCCTCTGACATGCCACCCCACCTCTGCCTCTGTCCCTTTGTACTGACTATTCCCTCTACTTGGAATACTCTACTAAAATATTCCCACCTCTACCTCTTACCTGTTTCCTTTAAGATTCAGTTTAACTGGGGCAGCTAGGTGGCACAGTGGATAGAACTCCAGCCTTGGAGTCAGGAGGACCTGAGTTCAAAAATGAACTCAAACGCTTGACACTTACTAGCTGTGTGACCCTGGGCAAGTCACTTAACCTTGATTGCCTCACCAAGGGGAAAAAGACTCAGTTTAATGATAAGAGTCAGCTAAAACGACAAAATGGGAAAATGACAGATGTTGAAGAAGATGTGGAAAAATTGGGCATTGTTTGTGGAATTTTAAATGATCAAACCATTTTGGAGAGCAATGTGGAATTATACCCAAAGAGTTATTAAACTACTTGTACCCTTTGACTGAGCAATACCACCACTTGGTCTATTTCCAAAGATGATTAGGGAAAAAGGAAAAGAACCTATACGTTCTAAAATGTTTACAGCAGCTCTCTTTGTGGTGGCAAAGAACTGGAAATTACAGGAATGCCCATCAATTGTGGAATGGCTGAACAAGTTGTGGTATATGATTATGATAGAATACTACTGTGCTGTATGAAATGATGAACTCAATAATTTTAGAAAAACATGGAAATATTTGCCAAAAATAATGACGAGTGAAATGAGCAGAACCAAGGGAACATTGTATACAATTAATAGCAATGGTGTTTTAAGAACAACTTTGATCGAATAAATTATTTTGACTATTATAAATACCCAAATTAAAAAGGACATATGAAGAAAGATGCTACCTACATCCAGAGAAAGAATTGATAAACAGAAGTTTGTACAGAATAATTTTACAAAAATATAACTATTTGTGTCTAATGGTAGCTGTCTGGGGCGGGGGGAGGGAAAGAAAAAAAAGGAAAAAATTTACATAATTTTGTTGTATATTTGAAAGGAACAGCAAGTTGTGCATAGTAGATATGCAGTTTCATGTGCAATTTTCTTTCTTAATTACACTATATTACAAAAACACTTGTAAAACAATTTTTAATGATTTTAATTTAATATTTTAATGAATAATTAATACTTGTATTAATTTAATTAATAATTAATGTGTTTGATTATTTAATAATTAAATTAATATTTTGATAATTTAATTTAATAAAAAAAAATTTTTAAGGATTCAGCTCAAATCCCACCCTTTACAAGAAGCCTTTCCTGGTCCCTCTAAGTTGTTAGTGTCTTCCCCTCTGAATACCCTCTATTTATTATGCATATATCTTATATATACCTAGTTATTTTCATGTGGAATGCAAGCTCCTTGAGGGCAGGACCTGTTTTCTCCTTGTATTCCTAGAACTTAGCACAGTGCCTGCCACATAATACAGAACTCAATAAATCCTTGCTGTCTGGCTGAAAACAAGGGAAAATAGTCATGTGGAAAGAACGAGAGATAACCAATGGGCTGCCTGAGCAGTACACCACTCTCCTGAGATGCAGAAAGAACAAAAGAAATGCTCTTCATGATGGATAAATCTTCTGAGAACTTATAGGAAAATATGGCCAAGAATGTCATAAGATGAAAAGGGATGAAGGGATTGTGATCTACATCAGTGGAAGAAGTATATTAGTGGAATCCAGTGCAATTATGAATTCACTAAAGCACTAAACATATGGTACAGCTCTCAGGTGTACTATTGGCCAAGAAAAACAGGATTAATTACCTTGTTAATCAGTCCCATCCAAACTACTTTATCTGCCTCCTCTTAGTGAGAATACTAAATATTTTCATCAAAAAGAAAAAGAAAAGAAATGAAGAGAGAAAGGAAGAAGAAGGAAAGAAGAAAGAAGGAAAGGAAGGAAGGAAGGAAGGAAGGAAGGAAGGAAGGAAGGAAGGAAGGAAGGAAGGAAGGAAGGAAGGAAGGAAGGAAGGAAGGAAGGAAGGAAGGAAGGAAGGAAGGAAGGAAAGAAAGAAAAAGAAGTCCATGGATTATGCTGAGTGGATGATTTCAAGAGTATACTGAGCAAGGTCTGACCTTCAGATGGCAAGTAATATAGAAGTAAAGATCAGCTTTTACTTAAAGTCAAAAATCCTGGTAGAGGCCCATATGAATTTCAAAAAAAAGAGGTTCTGACATTCTGAGTTAGAACCATAAATGGGTCCCCTGGTTAAGCACTTTAAAACAATGGAGATGAGAATTAGGCTTTTAAAATATGGATTTGTTTTAAGGGAAATAGAATTACAGGCAAGGAACAAGTCAAAAATTGAATAATGAGAGTTTCTGAACAAGAGGTTATACTATAGGGACTATATTCTGAAAGATTAGGAGGAAAAATACATGTCTTTATAAATATATCCCTAAGGGCATTATTTATGATAAGAAAAAAAAATCTAGAAATAAATTGGAGTACATCGCTAGTGGAATGGCTAAACAAATTATGGGATATAAATATAATGGAATATTATTCCACCATAAGAAATAGCCAGTATAAAGAAGCCAAAGAACTATTGGAAGACATATGAAGGGTAAAAAGCAAAACCACAGGAACAATGTGCATGCTGACTTTAAGAGGCAACTAGGGCATACTGAAGTGAGCAATGCATCTAGAGTCAGGAAGACAGGGATTCAAATACCACTTCAGACATGTACTAGCTGTATGACCTTGGGCAAGTCATTTAACTTTGACTTAAATGAAAAATCTGAACTCCAGCGTCCCTTCCAGCTCTAAATCTATGATCCTATGCCTTTCTCAATGTAGTTAATGACAACACTAACAGCACAGATTTATGTTAAATACATAAAAATGTCAAAAGGTATTACAAAAACAAGGATGTGAATTTTTATGTGTTAAAGTTTATACATAATTTGCATTGAGATTAATAATCAGGAAATAACAGAAGACTACTACTAATTTTGTTGTTTTTTCTTATTTTCTTTGTTTATATTCTTGTTCATATTTTTTAATACCTGTACTTGGC